CCAATCAACACAACTATAGGTTCAACCTTCATTGAGTTTGAAGATGTGCGCGTCCCTGTCGAGAACCTCATCGGTCGAGAGAACAAGGGATTTCCCCTTATCATGTCGAGTGAGCTGCCTTAAGCCAACAGATTGGATTGGCTGCTAATATTTTATTCAGACTTCAACCCAGAGCGCCTTGCGCTTGCCTGTGCATCCCTGCGACTCGCCCGAGTCTGTGCCGAAGATGCTTACAACTACGCCATCCAGCGCGAGACGTTTGGATCTGCACTGATTGAAAGGCAGGCAATTCAGTCCAAGATCTTCAAATTTGGGCTCATGATCGAGCCAGCCTATGCGTTCATGGAACAGCTTGTGAATATCCTTGAACTCACGAAAGATCGTCCTTCCGACGACGTCAACATTGGTGGCATGACTGCCTTGCTTAAAGTGATGTCGACTAGGGCTCTGGAGAAAAGTGTTCGAGAAGCACAGCAGATTATGGGAGGTGCGGGCTACAACAAGGCTGGGAAAGGTGCTCGAATTGAGCAGATTAGTCGTGATGCTCGGGTTCATGTAGTTGGTGGCGGAAGTGAGGAGATTATGGCGGGATTGGCGTTGAGGGAGGAGACAAAGGCGATTCGCACTCGGCGAAAGGCGCTTCAGAAGAGACAGTCTAAAATATGAAAGAAGATTGGGTTGCCCACAGGCATATGTATGTATGAGTGTAGTTAATGTAGTTAATCGTAACTACTGGCCATTCATCTACCATTGACAAGACTGTTAAGAAAACATCGAACTTGACAGGCTAGAATAGAAAATTAGAACTGGCACACTCCAGAATTCATGCAACGAATAGAGATGAACATAATCATATAAGGATAGGATTAAGGTCCACGGGTATTTTAAGAAACGCCAAAGAAGCCCAAGCCACAAGCAGATATTCCGTCAACCCTATTGGACAATATAAGGCTTCGCATTGGTACCGAAGATCAAATGAGGCCTCTCGGCAGCAATCTTAAGAACAGTCTGGGCGAAGACCGAGTTCGCCCACGAGAACCAGGGACGGGTATAGTCCTTGATGTTCGTAACATTGATGGACTCGTGGACAAGCCCAAGCAAGCTAGAGTTACAAACGAGGTTGAGGTTTCCAATAATCTCAGCGTCGTCGTCAGAGGTCATAGCCTGGACAAGTAGAGACATGGGCCAGGCGTTCTCAAGACCGATATGTGGACCGCCGATGCCATGGAAGTGCGGACCTACCAGGTAGTACGGGTTGGAGGCCTTGTTGGTGATCATTTCGCGTGTATTCTTGTAGACGGTGTCTGATTTGTCCACAAAGCCGAGGTAGGGCAACGAGAGCAGTGAGGGGATGTTGGCGTCGTCCATTAGAATACGTGACCCATAACCGTCAACTTCAAATGCGTAGACATCTCCATATTTGGGGTGTTGAACAATGCCGTGATCGCGAACTGCCTTGGCTAGTTTGGTGCCGCGTTCCTGTAGGTCTGCAACGAGACTCGCAGGTCCACCGGCTGTCTTGATCACTTTCGCCGTCTTCTGGAGCTGTACGGACATCATAGCGTTGGGCGGGATAAAGAAACCTAGGATAGTGGCATCATCACTAGGCCGGAACGCGCTGCGAATTAGGCCGGTCTCGCTATTTAGCGGGTTGCCAACACCGGCTAAGTTGAGGGTCTCAGTGCCAATGGTAGTCTCTCGCTGGAACGTGTACTGATTTTGAACGAACTGGCCCTGAGAATTGAAGGTGGGCTGTGACTCCGCGTCAATGGTTTTCAGCAGAGTTTCCAGCGCTTTATACCATCGGTCGGTCAAGAACTCAGTTGAACCAGTATTCTCGTGGAATTCGGTGCCTAGCTGTAGGAAATGGGCCAGAGAGTCAAGTTCATACTTGCACTCAAATACGAAAGACTCGTCATAGACAGGATGCACGGTATCTCTTTGGGTGCTGGCTTCCGGCTTGATACCGCTGAGAGCCGGTGGCTGGAAAGCATTGCAATAGGGTGACTGGATGACGAACTCGGACTGGGTGTTGATAGCACCTAGGATGAGCGAGTAAAGACTCTTGTCCTTAGCAGCCAGTTTTTGGTAGTTTCTGAGCTGGTTTGTTGAGTCACGCAGCCACTCGGCGTTGATATCGCCCGTCACGATGAAGGTCTGCACTCCGGTCCATTGCGCGCCGTCTCGCTTGGCATTGGTGCCGGATGATGCCGATCCGTTCGTATGCCACCGAATTGTAGTGTCTAGGGTATTTGGAAATGCATTTCGGAATAGCTGAGCCAGATCCTTATCGACTAGGCGCGAGGTGATATCGTCAATGACCTTCTCAACGGCGGGAGATGAGAATGTCCGACATGCTTCCGCAGGTCGCTGAAAGGGAAGGTTCAAGGGACCTCCACTATAGGGAGTACTGTAATTGTTTAGCAGATATTAGGTAGAGCTCCTTGGGATTTTAGACACTCACTGCGGTGTTGATGCATAAGAAGTGTAGTCTGGGCAGGCGCGTCGCAAGATGGCTGGGTCGTCTCTACCTTGGAGGGCGCCAGCCTGGAGCCCCAGCAGAGCGACTGCAACCACAGCAAAAAGAGTCATGGCGCAGCTGTCAAATCGGAAGAAAGTGAGGGACAGAATTGCACTGCTAAAGTGAAGAAGGCCGGGGTAAATAGGAGGGGATGTATGTCGATCCCAACCGAACAGGGATACATTCCACTACACGCATACAATTTCTCCGTGACTGTTTACGAGTAATTTTTGAGCTAAATAGCCCTGTATGTGTACCTCAAGGTGGTTCCCTCGGGGGAATACAAAGTACACCGTGAAATCGAGGTGACATTGGTCTGGGCACGATGACACTCTTCCCCACATAAAGTGCGGAGAAGATCGACATCGCGGAATTTCCTTTGTGGGTTGGTAGACTTGACATGAGGGGGATGAACGCAAGCAACTGGATATATGCTTTGGTAATGCTTTTAGAAATTCATTGGACACCTCAATAATACTACAGAGGTCACTTCTTCCCAAAGAAAGACATGATATTACCCTGCCCCGCAGCTTTGCCAGCCTTTGCCTTGGGAACATTGACGGCGGGCTTCTTCTTTGGCATCGGCTCATCCTCGGAGAAAGACTCCCACGTCGCTTCTTCCCGGGTAACTGTAACAAATTAGTACATCTCGGCAAATAAATGGGCCTCAGCATGATGCACGGACCTAAGTATCCTTCTTCGTCCTTGACTGTCTTCTTCTTCATGACTTGCCGCTTGCCTCGCCGCCGCCCACCCTGCACGGTCACTTCTTCCTTAAGTTCGGCTGGCTTTGATGGTGGCGGTTGCTCAACAGGCGTGGGCTCCCGTGGCTCCTCATCGGCATCGGGCATTTCTTCGTCTGGATCCATGTCAGTCGATTCCTTTCCAAGTTGGCGTTTGAGGGCCAGGGCATACCGTCAGCCTCATCATCATCGTCATCATCATCGTCATCATCATCATCCATCATCTTCTTGAGCCTGTCCTCACGCTCTTTCCTGTTTTCGCGGGTTGCTGCTGCTACTTTATCGGTGCTATCAGGGAACAATTCTTCTGCCTCTTCCTCAGAGGCATCGTCAAGCACGACTAGAAATTTTAGCTGATGTATCAAAGACAAGTGGGGTTAACTAACCATCTTCTGCACTGTGTGCAGCCTGTAGTCAAAGTTAGTCAAACAAGATCAGTAACGAACGAAAAGAATTAAAAAAAAGGCAGCACGAGTGTGGCACGAACCGGTTCTGCGGTGGCTGATGCCTTTGTCTTTGGCTTCGCCTTTGCGAAAGAGCTAAAAAGACTGCCCTTTTGCTTGGCTGGTGCAGCTTTACCTGAAGGCTTCGAGGATGTCTGGGAGTTGGCAGCAGAGGATGGCTCAGACTTCAGTTCATCGGACTTGGTGGCTTCCGTCTTCGCTGGGAATGCTTCCTTTTGCAGCGGCCGTTTAGCGGGCACTGTAGGCTCAGTCGAAGGCTTTGATGCCTTGGCAGCCGGCGCCTTCACGGCTGGAGGTGCAGGTGGCGGTGGGCGCGCGCCAGTCCTCCGCTGGAGTATATAAACATTAGATCCCGATCCATCTGTCAAAGTAATGAATGACCTACCTTGACGTTCCGATTTTGGATCATACCCCATTGCTTCCCACACTCCAATGGATCCTCCTGCCCGTGTGTATTCGCGATCTCCCGGTTGGCATCAACCAACACATTCAAATCCGGCAGAGCGGTAGGCTGAAGACTATAGACATGGATTGTAGATATCGACTGGAATGTTGATTTCGCATCTGCTCGACTCATTCAGTACTGCGTCACCGAGATCCATGGATATGCGTACCTTCCAGGTCTTCCTCGCGTGCTAACACGATGGAGGTAGTGCGAATTGAGTCCGAGGCTGCATCCTGGTTCGGCATTGAGCTAGGCAAGTAGGGACTGCTCTGCATCATCTCATCTTCATCGTCCGCATGGCCGTTCGTAGGGGCCGGCTCGGGCGCTTTCTGGATACCGGAGATGACGTAGGTTGCGTGGACGGTCTGTGGCTTCTTCGCGTTCTCATTACGATGAAATTCGAAAAGAATCCTGCGCAATGGAATGTCAGTGACAATTCCGCTTCCGATCTTTGTTGTTGCGAACACAGAACATACTGTTTGGCCCGATTGGCGTGCACTTTGAGCGCGCGGCTCAATAAGCGATACGTGACCTAATTTTGATTAGCTCCTGCTTGCCTGAAGGGCATATAAAAGCCATACAGGGTTCCGCTCATTGAGCACATTCTCAGCCAGATACAACTTCGAATCCATGGTTGCTGTTGAAGTGCAAGTTGCTCCGACGCGTGCTCAACCACTTAACGCGTATCAGTCAGCGGGTCTTGGCATTTGCGATCTTGCTCAGGCGGCTCTCCACTCACATTCTCTTCTTTCGTTTGCTGTCGCCGGGCGAGTCCGGTTAGAATCTCTACAGAAAAGATCCGGAGGGCTCAGGGCTTAGGTCTCTCAATGGACCAGTCGTTCGACCTCCCAGACTCCACCGATTGGTTGGAAACGCCACTTTCACTACTTGCGCCGTTCGAATCCTCATTACGATGTCAGGTGTGCAAGGACTTCTTCGATAACCCCGTCATTACTTCCTGCAGTCATACGTTCTGCTCGTTGTGTATTCGCCGTTGCCTCAGCACCGAAGGCAAGTGTCCAGCGTGTCGGAGCTCCGACCAGGAGCTCAAATTGCGTCGCAATTGGGCAGTGCAGGAACTCGTCGACGCGTTTAAATTGGCACGGCCTAGTGTACTCGATCTCGCGAGGAGCGAAAACACGCGCCTTGCTAGGGGAGAGGAAGAGATAGAGAAGCCGACCCAAAAGAAGCGGAAGGTCAATCAGGTGGAAGAAGAGGAGCTACAGGTCCTAGAAACAAATTCACAAGGCCGACGGACTCGCTCTCAAAGATCCATAGATATCTCTGCACGGGAACGAACTGTTCCTCAGATCGTACCCGAGGTCATCGAGGACAGTCAGGACGATGAAGAATATATGCCCGGTATGGTACTTTTATCACACAGATACCAGACCCGTCTAATCGCCTCACAGAAGATGGGTTGGTCGCATGCCCAATATGCTTTCGCAAAATGAAGGAAGAGGCAGTGTTTCCACACCTAAACATACACCAGCAGGAAGAAGAAGCGCCTAAGAAGACCCCTACAAAGCCGGCATCTTTCGGGTATGTTATTCTATTGCATAGGTCTAGAACATGGCGCTAATGGAAAATACAGGTCATTAAAAGGCGCACCACAAAGAGGCCTCGCCCCCCCCGGCAAACAGCCCGAGCGGCTTCCGGCTATAAACTACTCCATATTAAAGGATAACGCATTGCGGAAGAAGCTCCGAGACCTCGGAATCCCGGACTGGGGCCAGAAACAACTGTTGCAGAGACGTCATACGGAGTGGATGAACTTGTGGAATGCAAACTGCGACTCCAAACACCCCAAGTCTAAGCGGATCTTGCTCCAGGAACTGGACATTTGGGAACGCACTCAGGGTGGGCATGCGACAGCGCCGTCGCCATTCACCACTTCCAGTAATGTGATGCGCAAGGACTTCGATGCCAGTGAGTGGTCAAACAATCACGATGACGATTTCAAGCGTTTGATTGCAAATGCGCGTAAAAAGCGTGAGGCCAAGGCACGACAGACTATACCTGGAGGATCTCCGTCTTCATCTGGACAGAAGGAAACACAATCCCAGCAGGGTGCTGGATTACCGGTGAATGGTGCACGCGTTGAGCTCGGCCCAGACACCGATGGCAATCATGTTGTTGACCTATCAGGGTGATCTCAACAAGCCACGTTGAGCTCGAATTGAGAAGCATCCAGAAGAGCAAATCGTTCTTTCACATAAGGCAAAAATCTGTCCCGCAATTAGGAGTCTCAGTTTGCTTGCATCGGGCGGTCCTCGACAGACATGTTAGAGAGCCTGTCAATGATGTTATCTGCCAGCGCCGAGTCCGCGTCTTTGGCCGCACGTGCTTGGCGGGAAGCTTCATCGGAGGCTTGCTTGACGCTGTCCAGTTCGGCAAGCCTGCTCTCAGTAACTGCTGCCTCCTCCTTCTCTCTCGCCTCTCTGTCGCTCTTCTCCATTGCCGCAAGCTCATCATCAATCTCTCCCTCGTCAATGACCGGACCGGCCTCGTTCATGATGCTTCCGACCTCATCCACCTTGCTCATTTCTTCCCGCAATTCTTCAACGATGTCCTCAACCCTCTCGGCACCGCCGATCTGGGTATGCAGACCGCGAAGCACACCAGTGCTTGCCTGCATGACCTGCATCATGTCCACCTGACCGGCAGCTTGCTCGATCTTTGAATAAACTTCTTCGAGCTGCATGAGGGTGTTGAACCTCTGCTGGAGGTTGTGTTCAGCCAGCTTCTTGGAACGCACAGCGGACAGCGCTGAGATGCGGTTCTTATTCACCAAGGCCGTCTTTGCAGACGCAGTCAGCTCGGCAATCTTTGCTTCCAGGCTCGTGACCTGTTTCGACATGGTCGACACCAACGTCTTGATGGATGCAATTGTTCTGTCCTGTTGCGTGACCTCCGCCGATTCATCTGCTGATTTGAACTTGATCGTCTAGCCATCAATCAGTCAATATCTGGGTATTCTGGCCATGATTATATATTCCAGCTTACCCTGCCATCATATGCAATAGCACCGCTATCGCGGGATAAGTAGAGCAACAAGACATCAAAATCAGCATCTGATAGTTCCGTAGCATCATTCAGTACGGCCGCGAACTCTTCAACAAAGCTTTCCCTGGAGTAAATAAGGTCAAGCTTGGATGAGTAGCTGCCAGTGGCCTTCTTGACTGCTAGGTCTGCTGCTTCCTGTAGGTTCTCTATCAAGACCAATTCCTGCACCTGCAGCTTCGGTGCCAAGTCGCTCTCAGAACCTACGACAAAACCTTTCAGCTGCCGGGCTCCCCAGCTCATGACATTCCAAGGGCTCAGAACCCCAGGATCAATTAGCTTCCATTGACTTTTCTTTTGCAAAAGCCCAGCAGTGGTCTTGTAAACTGGCAATGGGATCATCGAGCCCTTGCGCACTGTCTCGTCCTGTAATACCCATTGATTAGCGCTTAACAGCCCTGCACCCAAAGGAAAGATAATAGACCCACAAATACAGTGCCCAGAGCTACGGGTCTCCCCCACTCCGGACTCTCTAAATCCCGGAGCAGAGACTCATCCGTTCGCAGAATCAGGTGGTCTGTCTTCTTTCGTTTTGCAGGCGCTGTTCCACTCTGAGCTGATATGGTCGAGCCGGAACGTGTCCGCACACCGCGGGACGAGGTATAACCGCGCTTTGCGGCACGGTTGAGTGCTTGTTCCCATGCGGCGACGTTAACAGCGTATCCGTCTGGGTTTGTCTTCTTCTGAGGTGTGAAGTCAGAGTAAAGGGAGGGTAAACGGTTTCTGGGGACATGATATTAAGGGTAAGCATGGGATTCTTGTTCTGTTTTGTTCTTTGAGACTCGGCCTTTACCTTCGGAATGCTTCCTCCTGAGTGAGAATATATTTCAGTAGTTCACTCATCATGCAGGGGTATGTTGAGGAGAAATAATATTGCTCACTCTAAGCAAATAGTAGGACAGGTTGTGTTTTTGAACCTCGTAGACAAAGCAGATGGGGTCATCTGCGCATCCACGGTTTCGACAGCTTTATCGATAAGCCCCACGTGACGCGTCCGAATGTGCCCTGGAGGGGGACAATTTTGATGCTTAAAAGTACCTACCTAGGTATACATATATGTATGTACTGTGATGAGCAAGACTTGTTTTAAGACCGATTGTATACGTCCCTGCACAAGCGTTCTCGAGTATTACTTAAACACGTGGTAGACAATCAGCGGCAGCTTTATTTTCTATCCATTGGGTCCCTCACATGCCAGATTAAGGAGTAGGCATCTAACGGCAGCTGACAGGGAGAAGACAGTACCTAGATTTCTGTTTGAACATGCTTGTATTCTATGGTTATATGCTACGATGAGGTATTAAGGCTGTAATGAGTCTAAGCTCGTTCAAAGTCATCATTGGGTGGACTCTCAGGGTCCAGAGGCCCCTGCGTCGTGTTCAAGGCTCCAGTATCCAGCTGCATAGGAGGTCCAACCAAAGACCGGCGATGATGGCGCATGTCGAGCTTCTCGCTGGTCTCTTCAGTGGCCAAGGGATCCTCGCTAGCCGGTTCATTTCGGGTATCGAATCCCCTCGCTCCAAGATATTCGACCTTGACGGCATGACGCAGGTTGTCAACGAAGTTCTGCATTTCAGGCATGGGGAACACCCCGTCAGCCTGCAGCACGTCAGCGTAGAGACGCTCGGCTTCTTCCAGACAGGCTGAAGCCAGGGTTGGTTGCCCAGCTTTGAGCCATTGATCGGCAGCAAGGATGCTCCACATGCCGGCTTTTCGGCGACGCCCACCCCATTTTGCTGCTCCAACTGGTGTCTTGGACGCATAGCAAGCTGCTACCCTTTCGGTGTATAGAATCTGTCCCACTGAGCCCACAAGACCAAAGTCCATGACCCGCATGGCCCATTTGGCTGCGCTCTCAGTGGCTGACCCGCCACGAGACTTGAGAAGCTCAACCGCTAAAGATAAACAGCGCAGTGCATGTGGCGCATCTGAACAACGTGTGAGATAGGAGTAGCAAGCAGTCTCGAACATTTGGTCGACGCTCTCAAGCTTGATCTTGGCTGATGTGGCCAATGGATTTAGAAGCATGCTAACAGCGCACATTTCGTGGGCACCAGCATGATACTTCCAGGCTTTGTCGTTGCCATAATCCGATCGAATCATCTCATATGTGGACGCAGCTAGCTTCCAATCGCGGAGCATGAACGCAAAGTCCGCCATCTTCCGCAAGATAGCCTCGGGGAAGTCTGGGCTATAAGAATGTTGTGTTGGATCATAGTTCCCGCTGTTACCACCCGAGGAGCCTCCAATGCTTGAACGCGAGCTTGAACCGAAGCCAGCCCATCGCCGAGACATCGACATAAACCTGCCACTTATACCACGCCTCCGAGATGCAACCTGGTCGTTCCAGACAGCTACTTTATTTTCCATGAATGGAATGACGGACTGTACCACTAGTTCTCGAATAAATGCCCTAATCGCAGTAGCATCGGAGCCAAAGAGATAGGGCGTGCCGTCAGTGCCGAGGTCAACCAACGCTTCTGGCGAAAAGTTAGCTTACGTCTGTTTATGTGGTGGCGAACACTTGCCTGCCTCGCCTGCTCCCGACAGATGCTCTGACGGCGAGAGCCATTCGCACTGGGGAACTTGCATGCTGTCATCGTCTGTCACCACACACTGGCTGCTCCGAAGTCTTAAAAGATGACAGTGTAGCCCAAAGTGCCGCTTCATCTGATCATATAGCTTGATAGATTCCGTGATATCATCCCGTTCTTCGTCATGAACTAAAACGTAATACCGAAGATACTCCTGGTTGACCCAGTCGGGTAGCTGTCTGTCCCCAGTGGTACCATCGGCATAGAGCTGCCTGAGTGTCTCCAACGGAGCTGCGTTGCGAGAGCTGATGGCTATGACATTGGCTACCGGGTGGCCAAAAGTCTCGTGGGGCGCTGTAGGTGCCGAACACAGCAGTTGTTGCAAAAACGACTTGCATAATGGAGCTGTTGCAGGGAATCCCAAAACGTCCTTTGTCCGTACCGATGCACCAAGCACGCCATCTGAAGAGTCTAACTGCTTGGTCAACACTTCTTCCATTTGCGCCAGGGGCCTAGAATCTCGACTAGACGGAGCCCTGCCGATCCCCTTGAAATCGGCAAAGCGCACTCCATAGTCCTCCCAGGCACGACTCGAGCCTATACTGTCCCGGATCACCACCTTTCCGGAAACTGTCTCTCCAAAGGGCCGGATTAACTCCCAAAATCCCCCCTGGAACCCCTTGCTCCTCACCAGATCGTCGGTATCCTCGGAGGCATGAACTGCGATCGTGGGTGAGAATGACCGAATAATCGATGATCTTATATCCTCGGAGCCATCAGATCTTCCATCAAAAGGCGAACCGATCGATGACCTTGCTAACTGCGGGGTGGAAGATCTCCCAGAGCGCGAGTGCGACGACCCAGATCGTATTGGTAAGTCGGCGATCGTGGCCGAAAGAGGGGCCGGCGATGAAACTATTTGAGATTCTGCCAGTTCCGCATCTAAAGATTGAGTTTTTTCATGCTCCCCCGGGTATCGTGATGGTGATGTGGATGCGACTCGCGACACGCCAGGGGAGAAGGACGGCGGAGGTTTGACCGGAGCAGCATCTCCGGGCGATGTCATGGGCGGACACCTGCTGCTTCGTGCAGATTTAAAGCGAGTGTAGTTGATCGACAGGCCCCATCGACTGGTAGATAAGGTCGAACGAGGTGTAATAGAGCAAGTGGAATGCGGTTTCACGGAGGTGTTGTTGGGGAGAAAGCCAAGTCGACGGATTCGGGCCGATAAGCACTGACACGGGCAACAACGAAAATAGAGCGACAGGTCCTGTGGCAGGTCGGGCACTAGGGCTTTTAAGAAGGTTGAGAATGGTCTTTGTCAATTGTAAATGCAATACATAGTACTTTCAGGCAGAGATTGATGGTCGATCTCCAGGTGGTGATGCAAACCACGTGAGGGCCATGCTTATCGACAATCAAACCGACTACTTTCACAAAGCATCTGACCTGGCTTGGTTCAATGCCGCTGCGCCCTTTCGTGTGTTTATTTAAGGCTTCTGGTCTCTCTTCAGTTGAAGCTTCACTTGCCCGCACTCTAGCGAGAAGAGCTGGTC